AATCTCTCAACAATCTCTCTGTTGTGTGGCACGCCTTATCTCAATGTTTGCATACCGATGTACAAGACTCTGAGCTTTCTGTCAGGTTTTGAGAATTCTTTACAAATCCATTTCTCACATCTTTCTTTTTTGACTGTAAAAACTTTTTTGGTCTTATTTATTATTTCTTGTATATAGTGAATATATAACATACTATTATTTATACTGTTATTATAATAGTTATTATTTGGAAATTAATTTTGTAAAGTTTATTTTTAGTTTAGGTATAAAGTTTTAGTTTTAAAACAAATTGATTAAATAGGATTTATTGTTTGTTTTAATTTGATTTGTTTGGTTTTTTCATTTTTGAAGATGTTTGTGGATGGACTTTGAGTGTTTAGATAAGTTTATGTAATATAATCTTTTACATTTTTTATAATTCTATTTATGTGCTAGTAAGAGAAAATTGACAATGGTTTTGTTTTGTAAGACTCTATGTTTAATAGTACTAATATTTGTTATTATATTACTAATAACAATGGAAGTAGTATTGATTTTTTTGTTTAATTGTTTTAATGTTATAGTTGAGGTGAATTGAGGTAAAAACAAATTTGATGTAACTAATTTTGTAGGATTTTAAGGGTTAAAACTGTTATTGCAGGTTTTTTTATAATGACAGGAAGATTTTCTAATGGTTTTTTGGATTTTTTTTTAACATTAGGAAAAGCCTGGGAATCTCAGGAAAACGGAAAGCTGGACAAGACAAACGCAGATCTGAACCAATGTGGTTAATCAAGCGTTCTCCGTTTATTCGAGATAAGATGGTAGTTTATATAAGCTTCTACACAGTTTACAAAAACAAAGACACTCTGATTGGTAGGCTAACATTGTTTATCTTTTCCTTAAAACGGCCTACACCTTACACTATGAAACCTATACTAATTCACACCCAGACAACCCAGTGGTCCCCATCACACCTTAAGACTATTTCTATCTGTGCCACAAGCTCTGAATTTCTAATTGCGTCAGAGGCTTGAAGGCCTCACAAGGCCCAAATCTGAGGCCTAGACTGGAGTAGCTCAAATCTCATAACTCATGTCCTCTTTCTCTCAAAAATGCTGCAACAATTCCCTCTTTTTCTTTTTGAGCTACCCAGGCTGGAGTGAAGGTGTGATGAACTAATTTTTGCACACACTGTAAAAAACACGGTATAACAATTAAAATAACTATAAAGATAAAAAGAAGTACAATACCAAAACGAATTAAGTCTTTGACCCAGCCAGAAAAACCTAAAGAATTGAGCCAGTTATCAAATGGAGTGTCCACTACGATAAGTTTTTTCATGTTGTCCTTCAATTGTGTTAACTGTTTATAAATCAATTGAGAATGGTCAGACAAATTCATGCAGCACATGCCTTCAAATTTTCACACCCATGTCCTTGTGCTAAAAGAAGGAAGTCAACTGCAGCTCTGTTTTGTAGAACCGCATGACGGGTATCGTCTACATCTGCAGCAAGCTCACTTATCAATTTAGATGTGATATTAATTTGTTTTCCTGTCTAGCAGGCTAGAGTTCTCAATTGTGTGAGCGCTTTTGATGAGGCGACCCCTGGGGCAAAAAGTGAGGCCACTACTACAGAGGCACGCCCCCACAATGACACTATATCTTTACAATTAGGGTCCATTTGGTGAACACTGCGTTTGGCTCGTTGAGTCTCCTGAGGCAATTTGAGAACCTGATGTATGGTGGGAGCAAAAAGCGTCACCCTACCGATATAACATGGGCCTCCCCTAGCATTTTGAGGGACTGCTGACCAGGCTCGGTCCCCACAAATGAGGAAGGTTCCTGGGGGCAGTTTTCCTGCACCACCTCTTGGCGGTGTCACAGATTGAGTCGAATTGTTACAATATTCTGAATAGTTGTAATACAATGGTGATCTGGGAGACAACCAAGTGTCATCATCTGTCAATTTTCCATTTTCTTGAGTTGGTTTGATAGCATAAGATCCAAATATCAAACAGTAATTTCCTGGGACAGAACCCAAAAGACCAAATTCTTGAAGACTGTCATCAGTAAATTTAAGGTTTTGCACAAATACAACAGCTTGCGCTCTCAGGGCGATATTTGGACTTATTTTAGCTCGGGTCCCAGTTTTGAACTCTGCCATGGGACCCAACAAGACTCCAATTAAACAAGTACGAAAGGGGTTAGACGGTGTGGCTAACAACAGGTAGAATGAATTTTGCCTAGTTTGTTTGGCCCAAGTGATCCACAAATTTTCTCTCTTGTCAATGTCAAGGATTCCAGATACTTCAACAACCAAAACACTGCTTAATAAAAACATTGAGGCCCACCACATATTTCTCAGGCCCTGTTTAACATGAAAGAAACAAACTTAATTCTAAACATAAACTATAACTTCTAATAAACTAACTTCTGATAAATCTGACTTCACACTTCTGATATTCTAACTTATTTCTCTGTACTCTACAAAATTAATTTTCATCAGAACCAGATTCATCACGGGATGTTCCAGGCAAACTGTTGTTGTTCGCGTTATTATCACTGCGGGTTGGTATCTTTTCCATCCATTTCTAAAATTCTGTTTCTGCCTTTTCGTATCAGTGCAGCAAGAGCATCTGTCCTGCCCAGACTTCTTGGTTGGATGGGTAAAAACACTCACTCAAGCAGGATTGCTGTTGATCCACGTTGGGACTCCCTCTTTTTCTTTTGCCATTGAAAGACAATGGCAAAATCAACAGAAAAATCACAGCCATTACTAAAACTTATTAAAACTTAGCAAAAAATTCTATAACATCATTAAAAACACACTTATATTAAAAAAAAACCCCAAAGCCCACGATCTTCTGTGGGTGAAACACAAATCTTTGCACAATCCACTTTTGCTGTGCATCCTCTGATCCACTTGTGGAGAGATCAGTTGCTCTCTTGCAATTGATAAGTTCCACATTCTTCACTGAAATCCATCCAGATTCTGCACCTGTTAAAACACAAACAAACCCAACACCCCCACAGGGACTGGAGGGTCCTCTCTCAATTCTGTTCCCTAAAACTTGCATGAAGAAATGAAAATATCAACATCTTTGTTATAAACATGAAAAAACATCAAAAACAAAACAATGCGTATAGTAAAGAAACTAACAACAAATAAAAATCAATCGATAATACACAATTAATATTACATATAAAATTACAGTTACCAAGTGCTACACTATCAAATTGTCATCCCAGAGTCTGCAGCAGCTGACAAACATTAAAACAACAGAGATTTGGATGAAACATGTCCGGATCATGTCTCTCCAAACTCCCTTTGAGGCTCAGCTGTCCTGTATGGTCAAATTGTCAAGCCAAAAGGACTTGAATACTTTTTGATGCAGAAAACACCTGGGTTAATCACACCATCCACGTAGAGCCAGAGCTTGGCCAGAGCTCAAACTCTAATTGGAGGATATGTTTAACACATTATAAAATGAAAGTCTTAGAAATAAAAGTTATAAGTAAAAAAAAAAAAACCTTATTATTAAAAATTTATCAAACCATCAAATAATTGAACCTGTCCAAAATTTCCTTCAAGACAAAAATTCTCTAAATACAACAAACCCTTTCTTCAGAGATCTGAAAATTTGAAGTCTGAAATCTTGAACCAAAACTTGGACTATAAATTTGTAAAAGAAGATGAACTGCAGCTGCATAGAAGATTGGACAAAGAAAACACATGAGTAGTTTAAAAATCAAAAACACAGGATTCTGAAAAATCACATCTTGCAATCAATCACCTAGAAAGACAATAAAACATATGAAAACTGACTGTAAATATTAAAACAACACCTCAATACCTTAACATCTTAATAATAATTCTTATCACAAAAATCAGACAACTTACATTATATGATCAACCTATCAACAAGAAATGTTTAAAGTAGTTTAAAACAATCTTTTCAAAGCATTCATATAACATTAGTAACAATCACTACTTATCTTATCATTACCTACAAAAACTTAACAATCATCACTTATTATCTATAAAACTCAAAAATCATAATTACTTATATTATTATCTGTAAAAACTCAAAAACAGAAATTGTGAACTCAATACCAACATTCCATCTGACTGACTTTTCTCAAATCTTTGTTTTCAAAGACATTTTTGGCAATTAAATCATTATTAACATTTCTATCTTTATACAGTGATTTTCATCTATATCGTATTTGAAATAACATTGATTTGCATAATGTCCATCCCTCTTGGTATCATGGAAAACACTCAGTATTGCTATACTTTTTCATTACGTCTTCTGTCTCCTTGTGTTGTTGCTTGATAAAGCAGCTGCAATGATGTGTCCTTGTTGTTGAATTGCATCTTGGATTGCAGCTGTGAATGCCGCAGCTTGGTTGCTCTGTTCTGCGCGTGTGGCTCTGACAAGCATCTCATCGACTGGACAGCTTTGAGGAAGGGTGGCTAAGATGGTTCTTGTGTGTGGGTTAGCATTTTCAAAAGCAAGGGATCGGAATAAATGTTCCTGAACGTCTGGTGGCACGTCAGGTGCGTCCTTCAAAGCAGCTGACAGCCTATCAATAAATTGTCCAAATGGTTCAGTGGCTCCTTGCTTTATGGATGCATAGGATGCTGACTTTTTCTTGTCTGGTACCAAAAGCAAAGCTTGATGGGCCAATTGCTGTGACAATTGATGCATTTCAACGGGAAAGGTAAGTTGTACCTGATTGGTTGCATATGGTCCTTGCCCAGTCAGCATATCTGGCTGGACTCCAAAAAAGGGGTCTCCCACATTTGTGTGTTTGTTGGCCTCTTCAATTGCCAACCGCCTCCATTCCCTTTCAAACATGAGAAACTGGGAAGGTGTCAGGAGCAGGGAGGCAATATTAGATGAATCACCAGGACAAAGCACATCTGCTGTGAATATATACTGAATGATGTTCCTGGCTGCTTCTGATCTGATCCCATAAGTGGTGACTGTCTGCTTAGCTGATTGTAGGATTTTCCACTCATGAGGCTACCAGATGGCATTCCCATTAGACACTATGACAGGACAAGCCAGGGAGCTGACAGCCTTCCAGTCACCGTCTAAAAGAGCATCCTTCACAACTGATGCCCATCAGGACTGCAATGGATTTTTTAAAACTGCTGGCAATGCCAATTGCTGGCGAGTGGGAGGTTCCACTGGTTGAGCCTGACGATTTGAAAGGGTGGCAAGCTGGGCTATTTTTTGTTGTAACGTATTTGATCTTTGTATCTTGTTTTGTGATCGCTTCTTCCTGCTACAATTGACGGCAGAGGGGTCTGACCCTGAGTCATCGGAATTGGAGCTTGGAGGAAGTGGGCAGCGCAGCGCCACCGTGGCGGGGTGGGGGCTGCCTGGGGCGGGGGTCTGCGCTGCTGTTGTCTGTGTAACTGTCTCTGCGATCCCGCTAGCAGGGCTGTGCCCGGCCCCGCTCTGCCGTGCCGGGCTGTTTGCCGCCGCCAGGTACCGCCGGGCCGCGCTTCTGCGCCTGCGCGTCACTGCCACTGCTGCCGCCGCGTCTGCGGGGGGATGAGGGGCCGGCGCTGCCGCGCTCCCGTCTCCGCCCTGGTCTCCGCCTTTGTGTTCTGCCTCCTGCCTGAGCCCCGTTTCGTCACCAACTCCGCCTGCCTCCTCAGGTTTCACCCCGCCTCCCGAGGGACCCGGCAGGGCCACTTCCTGGTTTGCCTCACTTCGGGGAACCGCCGAGCTGTTAACATCTGCTGTCTGCGGGCACACTTCTGCCCCGGCCGCGTTCACGCTTTTGTTCGGTCCCGTGTCAGCCAGCCCCGCACCTGCTTCCAAACGAGCGACAAAATCCCTGAGAGAGGGACTGACTGGAGCCTTCTGCCCTCGCACTGGCCACATATTACAAACATAAAAGAATTTTTCAACCCAAGATGGCTTTTGGACTTCTGTCTGTTCTGATGTGGATTGCTAAAACGCCTGAATTGCGTCTTCCGCTGCTTTTTTCTCTGCAGGCATGCTTTGCAGGGTATGTAAAACTTTTTTCCAAATGCCTCCAAGCTCCAGCACTATTTTCTTGTCTTTTCTGCCCTCTATCACTGTGTCCCAAAGCAGCTCTCCCAGCTTTTGCCATTCGACTTCACTAAAAATCAGCGAAGGCTTTTGCAGCTTGCCTTTGTTTCTTGCCCACAGAACCAACTGTTCCAAATCAGCTTCTTTAACTTTTTCAGCTCTCTTTGAGAGAATATGAAAGAGAAGCCGCACGGAAGCCTGCAGATCCCCACCCATGGTGAACTTTCACCCTCTCTCTCTCCCCGCGGCTTACCTCCAACCTCCGCAGGTTGCTCCGCTCTCGCTTTTCTTCGGCAAGGCAGCAACTCCGCTCCAGCTCCCCGGCCCCGGCCACGTCCACCCCCGCCGTTCGGGTCTCTTGTGAACGCCGAGGTCTTCCCACTGCTCCAACGGACTCTCGCAAACAAACAACAATGTGAAAAGTCTTTTTTCTCCCGTTGGGAAACAGCCCAATTCAGAGTTTGGAGACTTCTGCTCCGTTCCACTTGATCCCCGTTCACAAAAAGTGAATTTGGGATCCCGGCCTCGTCGCCATGAGGCGATTTGGACTTAAATTTTCGTTGCGCGACTCAAACTCAGCTCCCCGTTACTCTAAAAGTAATTTGGGAGCTTTTTCGGAGCCTCCTGAGTCCCTGGTCAGGCGCCACTAAAAGCCTGGGAATCTCAGGAAAACGGAAAGCTGGACAAGACAAACGCAGATCTGAACCAATGTGGTTAATCAAGCGTTCTCCCTTTATTTGAGATAAGATGGTAGTTTATATAAGCTTCTATGTAGTTTACAAAAACAAAGACACTCTGATTGGTAGGCTAACATTGTTTATCTTTTCCTTAAAACGGCCTACACCTTACACTATGAAACCTGTACTAATTCACACCCAGACAACCCAGTGGTCCCCATCACACCTTAATACTATTTCTATCTGCGCCACAAGCTCTGAATTTCTAATTGCGTCAGAGGCTTGAAGGCCTCACAAGGCCCAAATCTGAGGCCTAGACTGGAGTAGCTCAAATCTCATAACTCATGTCCTCTTTCTCTCAAAAATGCTGCAACAATTAGGTGTTATTATAGTGAGTTGTTTGTTGTTATATGGGCTATTTTTATATTTTGAGGGAATGTTTTACTAGGTTATATTTTTATAAATGAGCTAAAGTTTTGGTAACTTCTGGGGGAATTTATTAAGATGAATAGTTTTATCTGTGGGGGTACAGGACTTGATGGTGCTCCTATGCCCATCTCTGTTTAGCCCAGAAATAAGTTTTGCACCTCTACGGCTGGGTCTGAGAGCTCAGGGGGAGGAGAAGCGCCCAGGTTGTTCTCAGGAACTGCAGCGAGCCCTGCACACCCCGGCTCCAGACTGTGCTGTGAGCGGGACAGACAGCGGGACAGAGCTGCCCTTGGCTTTTAGTTCTTGGGGCTGGCTGAGGCAGAGAACTTCCCTGCACTGAGCTTTTCTCTGTCCTTTGGGCCTGGTCACACCTGCTCTGCACTGAACACCCGCAACAGCAGCGGTGCTGGCACCTGTGGCCCACCGGGCTGGCCTGGGCTGTGGCATTTGGACTGATAAAGGACTGAGAAGGGACTGATAAGGGAACGAGTGAGCTGAGCTGAGGGGACTTTCTGAGTTTGTCATCTCTTCCAACAGTGAGAGGTTCCGTTGTTAAATATTGATAATTTTTTGTGCTGGTGAATGTAAGTGGGGGTGTAGGTGATTCTCAGGAGCAATTAGCTAATTAACATTTCAATATCAGTACTTAGCTCAATTCAGCAGTGTCCCCATGGGAACCAGGAAGGCCCTTTCCTACATAACAGTGAATACATATTAAAGAAACAGTTCTTTCAATTTTTCACCAAGGAAATCTTTTTCCCAAATCTGCTGGAGGTAAGGCAGCTTGAATTTGCTTTCTAGAGGAAACACCTTTAAAGGTTTTTCTTCCAAAATTGCCCTAAACCAGGTCACTTTGCACCACTTTCTCCCTCCTCCTCCTGCTCTCCCTGCCAGCTCTCAGCAAAGACATTTCCCCCACTTCCTCCAGCTGCCTCCTCTCCCTCGGTCCCTTTTTGCCCCCTCTGAACTCCTGGAGCCGCCTGTCCCCGGAACCGGAGTTGCCGTGGGGCCGGGAAATGGTGCAGGGAATTCTGGCAGGGATTCTGGGGCTGGGCTGGGCCGGGCCAGGTGCACGGGGCCAGCAAAGCCGCTCTGTGCCTCTCCTCCTGCCCCTGGGCAGGCACAGAACACAGCAGGGAAGGCTCCAGGGGCTCAGTAAAGGCAGCGAGAGATCTCTCACCCATCATGGGCATAACAGGCCGAGACTGGGGAACTTGATTTTAGTTGAATTTATTATCAAACAGATTACAGCAAGAGAATGAGAAGTGTGCCAAATCGTAAAAATGCACCTTCCCCACACTGTTCTCTCCTTCCTGGGCTTCTCTTTATCCCTGAGAGACCCTGATTCACAGTCAGGTGCTGGATGCTGAAGGTGGGATTCCTCCTCTGCACTGTCAGCTGCTCTTCTTAATCTTCCAAAGACAGTCCAAAAATGTCATGTGCAGGCCAATTTGTGATGATTTCCAAGAGCCCAGGGCAATTTGGATTTCACAATACAGATAATTAAATGATGTTATAAATAAGAAATATAGTTATTGGTTTTCACATTTAGTATTAACACAGGGTGCAGCTGAGGAAGGACAGCCCTGTGCTGGGCTCACAGCTGAAGCTGGCACTGCCCAGCGTGGACAAGGTCCTTTCTGCAGCCCTGTCACAGGGCAGCTTGGGCCTTGCTGCAGACATACGGCCGCTCATTTGAGCACATCTCACTCCTGAATTTATCGTCAGCCAGGTACACACACTGGGAATTGCCAAGGACAGGAACCCTGCAGGGAGGAGCAGAGACAGCGCTGGTTCCCAGGGGAACACTTGTGCCCCTGTCCCCCCAGGCCCTGCCCGGCTCCCCGGCACTCACCTGGAGCTGTAGCTGCTGCCGTCCCCCCAGTGCAGGCGCTCGCCCCGTCTGCGCAGCCCGATCCAGTAATCCACGTTCCCGCGGAGGCGGAAGAGCAAATCCTGCCCAGGAGAGAGGAGTGGGAGCTGCCCCGGCCCCTCGGGGGGACACGGGCCCGGGGCTGCCCCCGCACGCCGGGGCTCCTTCCCTGCAAGGCCCCGGCACAGGGCTGCACCCCCAGCCCTACGAGCACCCAGCCCGGCCCAGGAGCACCCCCAGGCTCCCCTCAGCCACCCCACACCGCCCGCAGCCCCTCACTCACCATGGCCTCATCCTTGAGAATGGCCAGGGAGGCCCCGAGCTCGGAGCACCGTTCCTGAGCCTGCTCCCAGCTCCTGTAATCCCTTGACAAGTAGTAGCAGACCCCATTGGACCCAACCCAGTCGTGGGGACAGCCCAGAACCAACTGCGGAGTCGCAGGTGTGACTGGAACCTGTGGTGCTGGAGGGGGAAGAGGAGAAGGTCTGAGGATTCCCCTCTGCAGGGAGCAGGGACCCCGCTCTGCCCCAAGGGGCTGGGCCCAGCCTGCTGCCCCTCCCTTACCTGACTGCACAGCCAAGGCCACCCCCAAAGCCAGCACCAGCACCAGGAGCAGCAGAATCAGCACCGCCGTGAGCACAGGATGGGAGCTGAACCATTCACCTGGAGCAGGAAAGAGCTGCTGGCTGCCAGAGCCAGACCCGGCCCTGCAATCTGCTCACCCCGTGCCCAGGGAGCACAGGAGGGACCCTTCAGCCACTGTGCCCCTCACTCAGCTGGCAGCCAGAGAGCCAAGAGCTGGGCACAGGCAGGGACACAGCTGTGGGGACAGCCAGGGACACAGCTGTGGGCACAGGCTGCAGCAGGAGTCCTGCACAGCCTTGGGGACAGCTGGGGCTCTTGGTTCCAGCCACTGCTGGGGCCCAGCAGAGCTCGAGGCCTCTTCCAGACATCGGGAAACAGCCACACACCTGCCAGCCCTGGCCCTGGGAGGTGACACTGTCCCCTGCCTAGAGGCCACAGTGGTGGGCCTGCACTCACCCGGGAATCTTCTAAGGATCCTTTTGTGTTCATTGCCGGTTGCTGATGTGCCCTGGGGACCCAGGGGCTCCCTCACACTCCCAGCACTGCTGCAGAATCCATTCTCCACATCTTCACTCACTGCACACTCACAAGTGGCATCCCCCTGCTTATGCCAAGTAGCCATCTTGTGCCCCAGGCAAGTGTGGAACCCCGGCTGCTGGGTCCTCCTGGGGATGTAGGGGATCCTTCACAACTCCAGGGATGGAGCAGAATTCAATCTCCTACAGCTCACAGCCATCACCTCTCTGCCAGGAGAAAACAGCACGTTGCTCCAAACGCATCAGGAGTGCTGACAAAGCCTCTCGGAGATCGCCTCGGGAACAGCTTTACACCCTGAAAGGGACACGATGCGAGGTCACTGCTGGTCCCGGCCCGCGGCACACCGAGGCTCAGCAGGGCGGTGCCGCTCTGGGGCGCTGCTGCGGCCCCGGCTCGTCCCCAGCGATCCGGGCAGGGAGGAGAGCGCGGGCAGCCGCTCCCTCCGCGATCCCAGCGAGGGGGACACGGCGGAACCCGGCACAAGGAACTCGCCAGAACCCCCCTGGCCCTCAGCGCGGCCCCTCCGCCCGCAGCGAGCCCCGAGCTGGGGCACGACCGACCGCGGGTCCCACCTGGGCCGGAGCCGCCTCCGAGCTCCGCCGCCGCCCCGCCGGGCTCCGCTGCCGCCGCCGCTCCGCAGGGACTCGAACGCGGCGGCGGCGGCACCGACCCCTGTTTATGATCTCTCAGTTTGGGGTGGGACGGGAGTCTGACTTTTGGCTAAGCGGCGCACGGGGAATGGGCAATCACGGTACCGGGAGGAGTCCAGGGATGGAAGCTGGCGAGACCTGCAGCGCGGGGGAGATTTTGGCAGCGAGACGAAATTTGAGAATTGAAGGGAAACTCCGCACTGCTGAAATAGGGCGCTGCCCGGGCACGTGAGTCACAATTGGTGCAGAGCCTGCCAGGGAAGGGACTTTGTTAGTTGTTGTGAATGGAGATGGGCTGGCGGGAGATGTGCTGGTTGAAGGCCTCCTGTGCCATGGTGATCATGATATCACAGTGTTCTCGATCTTTGGTGATATCAGGAGGAACATCAATAAAAATTTTACATTAGACTTCTGGAGCACAGGCTTTGACCTAGTTAGGAGACTTAGTCAGAAAGTTCCATGGGAAGCAGCCCTTAAAACCAAAGCAGTCCAGGAAAGGTGGCATGCTTCAAAACAGAGATCTTGAGGGCACAGGAACAGCCCGTCCCTGAGTGCCCAAAGGTGAGTCAATGAGGCAAACGTGCAGCCTGCATGGGCAACAAGGTTTTGAAGGAACTTAGGAATAAAAGGAGGATGTATCAGCTTTGGAAGTAGGGTCAGGTTTCTCAGGAAGTATTTAATGGGGTTGCTAGGGTAGGTAGGAAAAAAATTAGGGAGGCCAAAGCTCAGTTTGAAATTATTTTGGCAACTTTTGTAAAGGATAATAAAAAATGTTTTTACACATGTATTGATGGTAAAAGCAAGGGTAAGACCAGTTCTTGTTCTCTTTTCGATGCAGGAGGGAATTTAGTAACTGCAGGTGAGGAGAAGGCAGAGGTGCTCAACGCCTTCTTTGCCTCAGCCTTCAGTGGGAAGAGGGCTTGTCCTCAGCACAAGTGTCCTCCTGGGCTGGTAGATGGTGTCAGGGAGCAGAATGGGCCCTGTTCTCCAGGGGGAGGCAGCCAGAGAACTGCTGAGCTGATGGATGTTCATAAATCCATGGGCCCAGATGGGATCCACCCCAGGGGGATGAGGGAGCTGGCAGATGAGCTTGGGAAGCCGCTCTCCATCATTTACCAGCAGCCCTGGCTCACTGGCGAGGTTCCAGCTGGCTGGAAGCTGCCCAGTGTGACACCATTCACAGCAAGGGTGGGAAGGAGGATCCTGGTAATTACAGGGCAGTCAGCCTGGCCTCAGTACCCAGTATGGTCATGGGGCAGTTTATATGGATTTCACCAGGCAGCACTTACAGGATGGCCAGGGTATCAGACCCAGCCAGCAGGGCTTTAGGAGGGGCAGGGCGTGTTTGACTGCTGGGGAAGATGAAATAGGAAAGCCTTATAAATATGATTGCCTGGCAAAAGATTTGGGAAATACAGAAACTATAAGCAAAATTGAAATGAGAACAAGCTTTGAGATACAAAATCTTAGTTGCTAAACAACTAGAAAACAACAGTATAGTTAGTTGAAGGCAATCGCCCCTTTTGACTGAACAATGCCCTCTACCTACAGACAGATCCAAGGGTCAAATGGAATATTCTGTCTCACCCTTCAAAAAAGGTGTATAGTTTATCCCACATCAGTAACCCTGCCCTGAAGCATCAGGTATCTGTAATCGCATTGGCCCCAGTCTTATTCCAGCCCACTCTGGAGCCCCCTGATAAGGTGTACCCCGGGGGACCAGACACCCTCTTGGAATCCTCTCCCTCCCCTTCTCTCTGCTCACTTGGACTCACGCCCTGCTCTCTTCCCCCCTCCTCTCTCTCTCTCTCTCTGTCTCTCTATCTCTATTTCTGTCTCACCCTGCCCCCATTCCTTGGGGCCTGCTGTGACCTGCATTTGGCAGCTCCAAGCAGGGCCCTCACACACACGCCCTTCACGCACACGCCCTTTGCAACAAACCCGGTATTCTGACTGACGTCAGAGATGTCTCGTCTCCATCCGTCCCAACCGTGCAGGACACCAGTGCTCCCTACATTGGACCAACCTGGTCTCCTTCCATGAGCAGGTGACCTCCTGGTGGATGCAGGACAGGCTGTGGCTGTGGCTGTTTGGGCTCCAGCAAGGCCTTTGGCTCTGTCTCCCACAGCACTCCTGGAAAAGCTGCAGCCCACGGCTGGGCCAGGAGCGCTCTGTGCTGGGCTCAGAACTGGCTGCATGGCGGCCCAGAGAGTGCTGGTGAGCGGTGCTGCACCCAGCTGGGGACAGGCACCACTGCTGTCCCCCAGGGCTCTGTGCTGGGCTCTGTTCCAGGTTTTCATTAACGACATGGATGAGGGGATCGAGTCTTTCACTATTAAATCTGCAGACCACACTGAGCTGGGAGCATGTGTCTCTCTGTTGGAAGGTAGGAGAGCTCTGCAGGGAGACCTGGAATGGGAGGAGAGGAGAGGAGAGGATGCTCATGTCCCAGAAAAAACACACTAAAATAAAAGGCCCCACTCCAGGGGCTGCTGAATTACCGTAGCCCCCGGGAAGCTGCTTCTGGGGGGCTGCCGCAGCCAGGGCAGGAGCAGGGCAGGACACATCACAATGCTGGCAGTGCTCGGGGTCTGTCGGCCTTTGCAGCTCAGGCAGATAAAGTCAATCCCAACTGTCAGCAATTTCCACTACCTGCTATTTCTCCCCTCTTTTCCTGCATGGATTTGACAGCTCTCGGTTTCCTCCCACACAGCTGGAAAGCAAAATGCCCGCCTGCCCCATGGCCATCCCTGCCGCCTTCCACCGCTCCAGCCTTGTCCCTCTTTCTCTCCCCTTTACTTTGCACCACTTTCTCCCTCCTCTTCCTCTCCCTGCCAGCTCGCAGCAAAGACACTGCCCCCACTGCCTCCTCTTTCTTGGTCCCGTTTTGCCCCCTCTGAACTCCTGGAGCCGCCTGCCCGCGGAGGCGGAGTTGCCGTGGGGCAGGGAAATGGTGCAGGGAATTCTGGCGGGGATTCTGGGGCTGGGCTGGGCCAGCAAAGCCGCTCTGTGCCTCTCCTCCTGCCCCTGGGCAGGCACAGAACACAGCAGGGAAGTCTCTAGGGGATCAGTAAAGGCAGGGACAAATCTCTCACCCATCATGGGCATAACAGACCCAGACTGGGGAAATTGATTTTAGTTAAATTTATTATCAAACAGATTACAGCAAGGGAATGGGAAGTGTTTGTGCCAAGTCCTAAAAATGCACCTTTTCCACGCTGTGCTCTCCTTCCTGGGCTCCATTTTATCCCCGATTCCCTCCCTCCTCCCCACACAGTGGCACAGAGGGATGGGGGTGTTCTGGTTTGAAAGGCAGGGGTCTGCTAAGGCAGGCAGGAGCCTCCCTGGCAATGGAAAATGTAAATCCCCTCTCTCTGAATTTTTGTTATTCTGAAAATAAGGGGCTCTCAGGCAGAGATATGAGACTAGGAATAACAGTTCTTTACAGTGTGCACAGCAAAGTAAACAAACAACAAAAAGCTTTTTTGATGGTGTTATTTATTATTTGCTGTATACAGTTAAGTATATAAGGTACTACTACTAATCCTGTTTTTATAATAATATATGGGAATTTACTTTCTAGAGTTTTATTAGATAAGGTGTAAAGGCGGTATTTTTTAAAATGAATTGTTTAATTAGGATTTAATGTTTGTTTTAATTTTGTTTGTGGCATTTTTTAGTTTTTGAAGTTGTTTGTGAATAGATTTTAAGTGTTTCAATAAGTTTATGTAATATAATTTTTAATTGTTTTTTGTAATTATGTTTATGTGCTAGCAAGAGAAAATTGATGTTGGTTTGGTTTTGTAAGGTTGTATGTTTAATAGTACTAATATTTGTTATTATATTATTATGAAGGATGTAGTATTGATTTTTTGTTTAATTAATACTCTGGTTTAATAGTTTTAATGTTATAGTTAAGGTGAATTGAGGTAAATACAAATTTAATGTAACTCATTTAGCACGATTTTATGGTTTAAAACTGCTATTACATTGTTTTTAATAATTATGGATTGAAATTCTTAATTGTTATTTTTTTTTAATATTAGTTGTTATTACAGTGAGTTGTTTGATGTTATGTCTCCTATTTTTAATTTTCAAGGGTCTGTTTTGCTAGGTTTTATTTTTATCAATGAGTTAAAATTTTTTTGTAATTTCTGTTGGAATTTGTTAAGATTAATAAGATAGTTTTATTTTTTGGGGGTACAGGACTGGTATAATCATACTAAAAACTTGAGGTTTTACATATAGGATGATGGGGAGTAATATTTAACTGTGGATTTCTTTGATACTGAAACTTAGTATGAAATTTGATAGTTAAAGAGTTAAGAACTGTTAATTATTGAGGTTTTAAATGGTGCGTTAAGAAGATGAGGGGTTTAAGGATATAATTGATTACGGGATTTGTTTTGTTGGTAACTGTATGCGGGATTTGTTTTGTTGGTAACTGTATGCTAAGGGTTGTTACAGTTAGGGGTGTTGATTATTTTTTGGCTGGTATTGTTATACTGATTAAATAGGCTGTAAAACGTTTGTTTGGGCTCAAATTGGTTAAATACATGGTATTTGAACTTGTTAACTTGATTAGAGTAACTTAAACATTTGGTTTTGGTTGATTTAGGGTATGTTTGTATTGTAAAAGTAAGTAAGTAAAGTTACTAAGAACTGAGATATTGTTTGATGTAACTTTCTGTTTTTGTTTAGTTACTCTTGGTAAAAGATTTTTAATGTATTTCAATTTTTAAATATTTTTTTGTGTATATTTAGTTTTTGTGGTTTTAAAAATTTCTTAGGGACTGGTTAATTATAAGGCACTAAATTGTTTTGTTTATGCTTAATTTTGTAAAGTTGGATATTTTGGGAGTTTTTTTAACACGATGATACTTCGCTTTTGCTAAAAGAGCTCTATGATAGTAACGATTTTTATAGTTTTAACATTGATACTACATATAAGTTAAGGTTTGCGGTTTTTGCAGTTGGGTAGGGGATGCTGGGTAT